GGTGTTTAGAGTTTAGGGGTTTCGGGGTTAGAGGTTTGAGGTTTATGGGCATCTAGGGGGTTTTGTAAGCATGTTCTGTTGGCAAATTATGTACAGACCATAAGGGGAGATTATTGCTAGCTATTCTGACGTTTATGTTTTGAGTTCTTGCTTTTCTGTAGAGCTTCATAGGTCTAGCGGTATTTGGGTAGTTCTCTAAATCGGGGTCCCTATTGGGGTCCTTTTTATACAGGTGCCGTACTATATTTGGTACTTCAAAAGGGGAGCCCTAATTTAGAGAACTAATTTAGAGAACTACCCATTTGTGTTCTATAAGGCCTCTATAGGGGTTCTGTCGGGTTCGGGAAGTATGCCATTTGCGTTCTACAAGGCCTCTATAGGGGTTATATTCCGGAACTCCCAGACGCCCTAGGCTTGGTATTCCTAGGTAGTACTAGGGGGACCCCTTCAAGGGGACCCCTTCTTAACCCTACTTATCACTCTCTGAAAAGGGACCTTGTTGAGAGGGTCTATATCCCCAAGGGTCCCCGTAATCCTAACTCCCAACATATTGCCCAGACCCTCCCCTGAAAGGATCTAAAAAGTTGAGATCCCTGAAGTGGGTTCCTATAAAGTCGTATATAGGGTCCCAAATTAGGGGTTCTACTTTCTAGATCCAAAGCCCTAAGCCCTTAGAAACCCTAAACCCTGAACCCTAACTATAGGGTCCCAAATGAGGGCTTCTCCTTTTGTCTGGGTGTGGGTTTAGAACTGGCACCCCGAACCTCCACGCAGTGGGTTTCGCAGTGCTTTCTAGATCCTTCCGGGGGTCTGGGGCAAAGCCAAGGATACTGACCTGAATGGTTCAGAGTTTAGGATTCGGGGTACCCAGCAAACAGCTGCATCTCGTCAAGATCAAGTACCCAGACCCCGGGAGGATCCATAAAGTAGATCCCTTAAGCGGGTTCCTATAAAGTACCCTTTAGCAGTTAGGGTCGCAGATTAGGGGATCTACTTTCTAGATCCTCGCAGGCCTTCTGGTTGCTGCAAGAAGATCTTGAACGCCAGTCCGGCGGTGTCTCAGCATTGCTTCGTACTGCTTCAAGGCGAACACCAGTGATGGACTGCTTTCCAGCTCCTCGGTGTGCTCATTCGTGGTCATGAAGTCCCATCATTTCAAGCTGCTACTTACTTGGATTATTTCAGGAAAGAGCAGGGCCGACGCACTAAGCCAAGAGTGTTTGATGACGGGAATCTCAACTTGGAGTCCGCAGAATCGGTGAAGGTCATCACAGAAGGGTCTGGGGGTGACCCACGTCACACGAGACCTTGACTGGTGCATCAGGGATGGTTGTCGCATGGATACAGATGGTACAACTCATCGCTTGTGCATCCCGTGCCTAGGGCGGAAGAACATGCGCTCTCTTGACAAATCTGGAGAGGAAGATTGCTCTTCTGAGTGGAGCCAACCGAAAGTTGGCCAGTTTTCCGCAAAGAAGCTGCTTTCCGTAATAGAACTCAGCCTGTCGGTAATTCTACTTTATCTAGGACAGTCACACAAATCTAAACTGACACTCGGACTTTATGTTATGGAGGAATTCATGTGGTTTATGGGTAACAGCAGGGTTGCATTTTGGCAGGTGGCCCCTGTGCTCCAGACATAGTAGTGTTTAGCTGCTGATGGCATTACCGTAATGCAGAGGTCGGAGTAACTCCTTGTGCTATGGTCATTAATGTGATGACAAGTATAGTATATCCCAAACCCTACTCTGTTCGGAACTAGCTATCTAACTATCGGGGCTCTTACATGGTTTACACCATATTCATGGACCCGAAATTAGTGAAGACCTCCAGCAAGACGTACTGGAATTGCAGCGAACTTCAGGGTGTGGCTTTTCGAGGTCGCTGAAGCTTTCCGTGGCCTAGGGTACTGCCCCCACTCCGTAACAGTTGAGTAACATTCATAACAGGTAACAAAAGGCCCTTAATAGTAGCCACCCAACCATAGGGCTTTGAACTTCAGGGGTCCTAAACCCTAAACCCTAAACAGTAGCCCTAACATGTCATGCGCATCTTCCAGGACCCCGGCTCTGTCTACCGCTGCTTCGGCAACACTATTCGATGCCCAGGGGGAGCCACTTGGCTTCAGATCCCTATCCAGAGCCCTTATAAGCGATTCAAAAAACCGAACCCTAAACCCTAAACCCTAGCCCAAGAAGGTATCCTACGATTGTATGGCTCAAGACAAGCCTATTCAGGATTCTAGCGTCGAAGTCCTTTAAGAGCTTGCCAGGCAAGCACTGGGGTCTCCAGCAGCTCTAAACTTTCCCAGATCACTGCGAGGATCTAAATACAAGGGTTTAGGGCTTAAGGCTTAGGGTTTAGAGTTTTAGGGTTTAGGGTTTAGAGTTTTAGGGTTTAGGGTTAATAGGGATCTATAGTAAATAGTACTGCTGATGATATAAAATACAAATCCTGCGTTCCATTAAGGACCTTAAATTAGGGGAATTCTAGGCTACTCCTTATTATGGGTAATGCAGGATCTATATCATCAATAGTAGGTTGGGAAAGAGAGCCTCAAAAGAAGGGGCCATTTGTCATCGTAAGCCCTAGACCCCAAAACCCTAAACCCTGCGTAAAGCCTTGTACCCAGACTTTCTGCAATATCTAAACAGTAGATCCCTTAATGGGGGTTCCTATAAAGAGCCTTTAGTAGTATAGGGTCTCAAATTAGGGGTTCTACTTTTTAGATCCTCTTTCCATTCTTTTGGACCCCTCATGGGATCTAGGACATGATAGAAGGTCTATATACCTTATAGAAGCCTTATAGAAGCCCTATATACCCTAAACTCCCCACCTGTAGTTTCCTTTAACATGCGATCTAGAACTCCAGGAATCCCCTCCGGAAGTTCCGAAGCCTCCGTTTCACTTCTCTGAGAAAGCAAGCCGTTTACAAGGGAAAGCTGGCTTTAGGGAATTTTAAAGACTTTTAAGGACTTTTAGGGACTTTTTAGGGGCTTTGGGGGTTTGGGGGTTTAGGGTTCAGGGGTTTAGGGGCGTTTAGGGACTTTAGGGTTTAGGGGTTTAGGGGGCTTAGGATGTTTAGGGGTCAGTACGTGAAGATAACCCAGAGAAATTAAAGTTAACCTTAAGAGGATATCTTAAACGGACTCAACCACCCAAGCAGAAAGACCCCAGAAGACCTCAAACGGACACTTAGAGTTTTTTACAGCCAAACAGCCTCGGTGGTCTCGTGCGTGTCATCCTGTGCGCAGAGGGTCATGCTAATCCTCGGTACCTGCTTCCACGCACTCCCCCTCGCTCCCCATACAAGGAGGAGCGATCGGAAAGAGCTTCAAAGGAAAAAGCGCGGATGACACCAAAGAATAACAAGCATCAGCAGATCCTCTTCTGTTGCACACGCACAGACGGCCCTACTACCGTCTAAAAGTACCGAACATACTGGGACAAAAACTAAGGCTTCATTCCGATTGTCCACGGTTTCTTGTGGACACCTTCTTCGAAGGAATTCGTCAGCAAGCCTCAGCATCCCCTTTTTTGAATATTAACGGAAAAGAGAAGGAGAAGACAGAAGCACACCCTGCAACCTACGGTTGTTGTAAAAGCCTGGCCTCTCAACCAGAGGGTAACCTCTTCTCCCGTCCTTCTTTCTTTAAAGCTGCCCTACACGGCTGTGTCAACAAACTCGGCCGGATGAGAACCTTCCTTCAAATAGGGTCCTACGCCTAGGAGTCTCCCCCCAAACTAAGATCCTTATCCGACACCACAAGTCCAGGCTCAGTCCGAGGAAGCCTCACTGGCCCTTTCGAGCTTAAGCAAATGATCCCCTAACAACCAGTGAAAGCCATCCTGAACCTCTTCCTCGTAGTCCTCAACCTCTACTTGGAAGCCGGCGCGCCATAAACAGAACAAAATTCGATCTCGATGAGGAATCTCGGGGGCTAAAGGTAGCAACACACACCCACAGCCATCCGTCTGGCTTCCGTTTTCACAGTGAAAAACGCGGGCCCTCCAGGCCCGGCAAACAACGGACTTACAGACTTCCCAGATCCCTATTGACGCGACACACACTACAACTGTCCAAAGAGTCCAACCATCGCACCCTTCAAAATCAGCAGCATCTCCGGGCTCCAATCTGGTTTGAAGTGGTTGCACAGCGCAGCTTGGGACTAACGCACCTTCGAAAACATCCAAGTCACTGGTCTGAACCGCCCCAACTCCGAGAATGCCACGGGTAACAATCCAAAGAATGATTTCTACAACGACACAAAACTTAATCAACAGTCCAAACACCCGAATGCCCCTCTGTTCGTCAACTGGGTCAGGGTTAGCTCCACTGCTCATAGCAGCACTCGTTTCTCCATTCACTTCGGTTTCACAGTGCTCTGGAACCGCTAAACCCTGAACAACCCTCTCAAAACCAGACCAGTCCCCAGAGCTCAACCTATCCACAACGCCCTGAACCTGCTCCTTAGACCAACCCGGCAACGGTACACACCCCTGATCATCTACATAGTTCACAAGAAGTGCCTCTTCTGCTGCCTGATAGGCAATCGGAACCGGCGCCCCCTGGGGATCAACTCCAGTCCCGGTAGTCCCAGAAGCTTCTCCTAACTCTCCAGGCAACTCTTCAGACACAGCTTCGCTCGCAACAACGGTAGGCTCAGTAGTCGAGTCTTCGCTCGTCTCATCTGAGGAAGATGAAACATCAGCCTGAAAATCCCTATAACCCAGAACAGGCGGAACAGGAACCCCACCCCTATGAGGATACCTATCTATGGCCGAATCATCACTGTCACCCTCCTCAGACGAGGAGTGGTTCTCTCCTTGAAGGTACGCATCGGCAACATCAGCACCACGATCTTGCACAGTAGAGTGCGATAAGCTGGTGGCCCTCAGCCACCTACTCATAGCATCGACAGTATGCGTTCTGAAGCTACCAGATACCCTCCTCAAAGACCGAAGATCACCAATCCGATCCCCAATGAATGCTAACAACTCGTAGCCCGCTATCGAAAACACTTGCCACAACCAGGGTTCTTGCCACTCTAGCCCACAAAAGACCTCTTCTACACCTTCAGCTGTTTGGGGTTCCGGGGCAATAGTCGCGAAGTATCTCTGCCTCAATGCCTCTGCGGCGGCAGATTCCACAGCATACCTTATAGAAGCCGAAGCAGCCCGCAACTCCCTCCAAGCAACCGACCTATAGCCTAGTGCCCAAAGCATGCGATACCCCTGCAAAGACAGCAACTGAACGACAAAGTGTACCTGGTACCACGTGCCTATCAATGGAAACTGGGCTGGTTCAAACTCGAAGCAGTCTTCGTAGCAGTGCGGCCACTGAGACGCAGCGAAACCGTGACTAGAACTACTCGGACCCTGCAAGCTACCGGAGTCTCTTTCTACTTCTACCTGGAACACCGGATCAGAGCTACTTGCAGCAAACTCAAAGCAGTCTTCGTAGCATTGCGGCCACTGAGACGCAGCAACACCGTGACTAGAACTACTCGCAGCTTGCATACTACTAGGGTCTCTTCCTTCCAGAACGTCACAAACTGGGTCTGAACCACTTGCAGCACTATTCCCTCCAGGCAACTCAGAGGACGTGGGGGCTACTCCAACCGAGACTTGTCTCCACAACCCCTGACTACCAAAAACCCTTGGACAGCCCTCCGATTGATCGTCAAAAGACTCTTGATGCCCACTCGATCCATCAGAAGGCTCCGACATCCGGACTAAAGGAGAGCCCGCTTCTAACTGCTGATGAGCCTGCAATGGCTGCTGGGTTTGCGCATCAGACGATACCGCCTCATGAGAACAAACATCCCTGAGAGTGTCAGGTAGGGCGGTCTCCTCAACCTCTGAGAACCAGCTCGGCAAGGCACCATAACGCAAAGACATCACAGGGGGGTCTAGGACTCCCCCCGCTTCAAGCACGCGTCGAACTCTGGCTCTCTGCACGAAGGTTAGCCCACTTTCCTGTTCTGCCCTCCGTAGCTTAGCCTGAACAGCCGCCCACTCCTCAGGTGAAAATTCTTCAGAACCGTCCGAAGCCTCTTCGCCGGTATTACCTTCCTCAGGACCGTCAGAAGCCTCTTCACCGACATTACCTTCCTTAGGACCGTCAGAAGCCACTTCACAGGCACTACTTTCCTCAGGACCGTCAGAAACCTCTACGCCGGTATTACCTTCCTCAGGACCCAGCGCTCCCCCGGAAGAACTTCCCGAAGTTGAGCCCACCACTCCAAGACACTCCCAACGATACCCGAGCCACCACGACCCCAAAAACCCGCATATTACCACAACAAAAACGCCTACGGCCCAACTACCCCATTCCCAAACATACCCAGGCATCTCATGATCAGGCTGCCCATTTACTCGAGGTACAAGGGACAACAATGCTAATCCCGCCAACACTTCGGGGGTGAGCCCCGGTGCAGGACCTTGTAGGTCAATCCGACTTAGGATCCTCGCAGCCTTAACAGTCTCCGCATTAACCTCCTGAGTCTTCACGTTGATGAGGGCTAAGAGTTGAAGGATTCGCGTCCTTGAAAGAGGTTTAGTACCAAGGTCGGCAACTTGGAATTCACCGGACAAGTGATTCACGGTGAGGACTCCAGCAGCAATTCTTTCGCCACCCCGCAGGGGTGGCATCAAATGCTCGGACCGCAGCAGCGTTGTCTGCAAGAAGAGCCACCAAGGTATCGCCTTCGAGGACCTCGTCAATGAGTGGTTGTATGCTTTCTGCCATTTGCACACAGTGCACTATCGCGACCAGCTCTGCCTCTGCCGAGCTTAACGTCACGAAAGCTTGGTGGGTAGATTCCCACGCTAAAGGGGAGCCGCGCCACACTATAAAGAACGATTGGATCGACCTTTCACCGCTTGGCGCATGCGACGCATCCGAGTAGGCCTCCAACACATTATTGCGCCTGGGAATTGCCAAGCCTCCATGTCCAGCAAAGCATGGCCCAATGTTAAAGAGGAACTCAATCCCTACGTCACTCGTCGAGCTTAGGTATCCCAACACCTGATGCCCTATCGAAATGGTCAAGTCCGGTACTTTGGTGGCCTGTTGGCCCATCTTGGAAACCGCAAACGCTATATCCGGTCTCGTACGTGTTGAGACCCATAGCAGAGCACCCGTGATACCTTGCGCTTCTCGCACAGCAGGAATCTCCGGGGTTCCCCCAGGTACTGGCTCGACCCACTTATTCATGGGCACCGTGGCCTTGGAATCGATCTGAAAACGATTAAGCAGCTCTTTAACATACGCAACCTGAGTTAAACGGTAACCCCGCTCAGTAAGCACGACTTCAACCCCGCAAAACGTCACAGGCGCCAGCCCGAACCAAGTAGGCTCAGACGTCTTCCACCTCGCTTGAACTGCAACAATGAACTGCTCTCCCAAAGGCTTGGGTGAAAAAAACGCTAGGTCGTCCACGTAGACTACCAACAGCCCCGCTATCTCACCCACACCCCCTTCGAACACGGACCTAAGAAACCACAAAGATTCATCGGCCATGGATTGAAACAGGCAGTACCGCCCTCCGTTCCACTCCAGTACCGTCTCACGCAGCTCCTTGTCTCTATAATTGCTCCAGTCCCGCGGCGAAGTAGGTAACCCGTATAGAGCCTTTCGTACCCACCACCTATCATTATGCTCTAGAATGCCCAATTCCACCAGAAATGAGGGCGGTTTCACAACAATCCTTTCACCTTTACCCTTCCCCTCAGCAGCGATTGGCGCGTAGAGAAAGGCGGACTTCACATCTATGGTAAAGCCACCCCAAGTCCTGTGAATGGCAGCAAAAGCTAGAGCAACCCGAAGAGTAAGCGCTTCTGCCCCAGAGGCATAAATGTCATCCTTGGATAAACCAAGTCGCTCAGGCGGCATATAGTTGCCACAACACACGGCCCGACACCTTCTTTTTCCGGTACCACTCTTCCGTGTCAACACCGCCTTCCCAGGCAACTGAATTACCGTAACCCCTTGGGCAACCCAGTCCTCGACTACCTCTGACTTTACCCGGTCAACTGCCCTGTTAGTCGACTCCAAGCTAAGAACCTCATCCGAGGCTGGCTCCCGCCAAAGATTCAATTCCTTCCTCGCTTCCTGAAGGCTTATAGCGCGCGTTTGAAGAAACTGATCCGATGGTTTCTCCTGGTCGTTCAACGGGATTTCAACTTGCAAAGCCTTTACAGTACCACCAAAACCTCCACTGTCAGCCCAAGCACCCAGCCACTGCTCAAGCCAAAGACACCAACGCTCTGCCTCGTGCAACAGAGCAGCTGTTTCGGCAACCTCTTCGGAGGACTCGACAGCTCCACACAGCTCGGCAGACAATAGCCTACACAACCTCGCTAGACCTTCATGCCAAAGCACCCAGCCTTCCCGAGCTACCTCATCTAAAACCGGAAGTGGGAGCCCAACCTCCCAGTCCTCTTCGGCTTTGCCTAAACAGCCTTTAACGGCACAAGCGCCTGGCTCTAGAACAATATCTGGTTCTCGTCCCTCAGATTTCCCCTTCAAGGCCACGCCTTCAACAGGAAACCCAAGCTCACCGAGGACATCCCAGTGGTTAATCATAGGCTCATAGAAATCTCGCGGAACAAATGCCGAGATAACCCATCGAACTTCTCCTTCCCAGGGCTCCGCTACATGCCATCTCTTACCGCAGAAGACCACAGGATCATTCTTAATGTCGTAAACATGTCCAACCCGCTGCTCCCCAGAGGGCAACCTTCGACACACCGGCCCTTGCCCCTTTTCACTTTCTATCCACAAGCCACCACCAACAAAACTCCCAACAGCCCTAGCTAAAATAGGAAATTGATGGGCATTCCTCAGGTCCCGATGCATCACATTCCGGGTATTCTGCGTGACATACAACGTCGTCCAAACATGGTCTTGACTTTGTGACTTAACAAACCTGTTAAGGTACCGCGCAATTCCGGCATGAGTCGACGTCGCCTTGGTAATCCCCTTAAAACCCCCTACACCATAGAGGCCTAGCATCACAGCCCGACCTTGCTGCTGAAACATAGGTCTTCGGGCAGGAGGAAGAAAACCAAAACCCCTGCCTAAGACTTCGGTGCACTCATCTCCAGAAAAACTACCATTATCTATCTTATCCTGTAGCCAACCCTCAAACCCAGCCTCAAGCTCCACGACTCTGAAAGCTAAGGGCTCGAGATCGTTTACTCCTTTCTTCACAGTGAAATCTGATTCAACAAACTCGCCACCGCCTTCGCGGCCAACTTCAACGAGCTCATCTTCAGACCCATCCCGATCAGAATCGCCATTTTCGAAAACTCCATCACCATAGGGATCACAAGAGGACTCCCCCCCAGGTGCAAACCTGGACCCTCCCGACGCGATTTCCGAAGCAGCTACAACCCGGACCGCCAGATCAACCGGGGAGCGCTTTGTCGTAAGCCGGTACCGTGGTTTAAGCGGGGGACCAAGCGTTTCGCCTCGTAACGGATAAATGGTGTTGGTCAACAAAACTTTGTCGCGCAAGCCATCTTTAATCAGAACCAAATGACCCCCTGGAGTGCTGGGAGCTTCCCCCACATAGCAGCCTTGGATCGTGCGAGGCCTCCACTGGGCATCATACCCAGTTTTGACCCGCTGTCTTGCATGAACCTTAACACCAAAAGGCAACAACACAGGCTGTGGGACACCAAAGTGCTCTGCAAAATTTCTGTAGTTCCGACTAGAGGCATGAAGTAAAGCTAATGGCCAAAACCCTTTATCCAACCCCGAGATCACCAACAGCTTCCGGACGAAACCCTTGAGGTTTTGCACCGCCAGTTCCGCTCGGTTTCCAGCTGGCGACTCGCCAGCAGTCCACGAAGGGTGGATCCCCTGGCCCTTTAGCCAATGAATCAACGCGGTTGAACGGAGTTCCTTTGCACGATCGGCATGATAACGATGCTCAGGCAAACCAAACGCCTCCAGCTTGTTGATCAAACCCTGCACCTGAACGTACACTTCCTTTCCGCGTTTGGAACGCAAAGGCACACCAAGGAAAACCGTCTTCGTCTTACCAAGCTTAACTGCTGAAGACTCCCCCGAAACTTCAGGAAGGGGTTCCCGTAAAGGCACATCACCCGGAGACCCGTCCTCAGGGCGCTTACTCCTAACACGATGTGTAACGGCCTTTTCGGTCGCCTCCCCTTCCGGAAGGCTCAAGAGTTCATCAAAAGAGCTGTCTAATCCTACCTCGATCGGATCAACAGGTTCCACACCACATTCCGAAGGCTCATACTCAGAGCAGCCCTCCAGGCCATCACCCTCAGGTTTATACTTCTCAGGAGTCGCGTAAGCACACGCTAAAAAATACCTGTAGTTTAAGCCTAGATCCCTACCACTAGCCTCAACATCGTACGACTGGCCTGGCACAAACGGCCCTGCGATATCAAAGCTCGCGGAGTGCACTTCAGGAAACGACGAGCGCCAGTGAGATCGCTGCCTCCCTTGTGAAGTGATACTCACAGGACACCCCCTCCTATACGGGGAATGGTCATTCTGGACATGGGCCTGGTAGGACTGCTCTTCCGTCATCTTACGTAGCAGGGCCTTACGCTCAGAGATCTCATCGGCTCGGAGGCCCTCATTCCTCCATGAACCCCACAAGCCCCTTACTATTGGATCCCTAGGGCGCTCAAACACAACAAAAATCGAGCATCCTGAAGGCCTCAATTTAGGCTGCCGACAGACTCCACCTTCGGAGTCCGAGACCCGGGTTTGCCCAGGCTGGCTCAACTTAACAGCCGCCTTCCTTAGAGCCCACTCCGGGAGCTCTTCAGGGCTATCCAAACCTGCAGGAGGGAGGTCATCAGGATCTGAAACATTCAGCGGCTCTTCTCCTTCAAAACCCCACAGGCTCCGATCCTTTGCTGCTTGAGCAACAGCCAGGAGCAAGAACGCCCTAAACCAACCGACAGACGCCTTTACTAAAACCTTTTGGTCTTCATCCTCAAGCTCCGCAAAATTCCAGAACTCAGAAACCCCTGTTCCGAACTCACCGGTCCCTGAAATCCTTGAATCGGAGTCCAAAATCAAACCTCCAATAACACCCAACTGGGCCCACTTCAGTAGCTGGCGAAACTGCATAACCGACTCCAACCCATCAGTGACCTTAAGAACCTGCCCCATGCCTTTCCATCCTGGTTGCCCCTTAGAGCAATTCACCAGTACCGTTGCAGGAGGAGCCCTAGACACCGAACGTCTTAGTCTACGATTCCAGGGTAGCTGAGCGGGATCTAACGGGGTATCCTCGACAGTAGGCACTACTACCTTAGAGAGAATCTCCAAAGGGACCTGTGGGAACAACCCCGCCAAAAAGGTAACCTGGTCCCTTTCGCTCAAACCAGCTTCCCCAACACAGGATAACCGACCCGCTAACCAAGACCGTGCCTCATCTGAACCCAAGGCCCTCTCAGGTTCCAAGGGACCTACCCTCTTCAAGCCTCCTTCTGAACTCAACCTAGCCTCGTATTCAGCAAGAAGAGTTAGGCCAACCTCCTTTGGAATCAAGGGACAACCCTTTACCACAGTCACCTCAAGTAGACCCTTGGTCGGATGCTTAATCCTACACCCTTTTCTTCGCCAGGAAATGGAAAAACCCAACTCAATGAGATATGCTGCCGGAATAATGACCTGACACGCGCCAGAGTGTAACAAGGAACCATAATCATTCACCCTCAACTCGGTTGTACCACTGGCCAAATCAACCTTAATCACTCGGCACGCATCAAGCTCCACACGATCTGCAGGTCTCAAGGCGTTGGTTGCTCCCGAATCCACAAGGCAATATGCGGTATCTGACACATTTGTCAACGCACTACACACCCATGACAAATCCAACTCATTAACCCCTAGGGCCCTTATAGAGACCCCCTTTAGCAGCTTGGCCGCTTCGGCCACCAAGGACTCGGGGCTGGGAGCCGGAGACGTACCGACTACCGAGGATACTGCATTTACTGCAGAGGCTTCAGCTCGCGATGATTCTTCCGTGATCCCTTTTGCCTGTGCACCTGCCTTGGCCTTAGCCTTCCCTTTAGGAGTACCCTTAGGCGGAGCCTTAGGAGATCCTTCGGAATCACTGTCAACAGTCGAAGCCCTATTCTCGGGAGTCACAAGGGGGCAAGAAGGCCGGTAGTGTCCCGACTGTCCGCACGCCAAACACCTACCCTCTCTACGCGCCTTAGCTCGATCGTGATTAAACATACACGAATCCCCAAACCTACAGCCCGAGGAATCCGAGAACTTATGACAAGGAAGACTACCCTTTCCTTTTCCCTTTCCCTTGGTTTCACCCTGGCTCGGCTGCACTGCAGCCACACTGGGAGGAGAACTGGCCGCTGGAGCTGCAGAACTAGCCTTCGAAGAAGGAGGAGCCTTAGGTACTGAAACCGCTGCAGTCCTTTGCCTCTTCTCCTCCATACCTCCAACAACGCTACCGCTTCACTTTCTGCTTGTACCAGCCTAACCAGCTGTACCACTCCCCCTACCGAAGGATTGTAGTCAAGAGCAGTCCGATGCCTAAAAGCGTTAATCCTAAATCCAACCATCGGGTTCGAAGCCAGTAGATTTGTGGTAGCACTGTCTACGCCACGAAGCAACAATGACGCGTCCGGAAGTGTCGCGTGAATTTCTTGGGCTCTGATCAAATTCTGCTGCCATTTACGAAGTCCAGTAATCGCTTCCTTAAAATTCTTGAACACTTCCAGCTGCACCAGTTGGCTGAGTAGCAGAGCTCGTTCAGACGAGCCTCCCGGCTGGTACAAACACATCACCCTAAATAGGATAGAGCTACTCGAAAGCCAACGGTTCATAATCACATCATCCTTAATAGCCTGTGGCAAAGCTGCCAGAAGAAAGCTCACCGCACGACTTTCTACGCGCTGAAACTTGACGGTATCATACATAGCGGTTATGGCCCCTGGGTCCAAGCTTATCCTACCTAACGGATCCGCAGTCAGCCATTGAGAGTACCCTCGCCCTTCTACACTGGCGAACCACACATCGGCACTAGGTGACAACCCTTGGAAGATTTGACGAATCTGCGCCAACCAATTCCCACAAACAACAGCACTATTGGAAAGATCGGCCTGAACCAACTTAGGCAGCTCCGAAATATACTTAGCCGGCTCTTCCGGCCTAGCTTGGTTACCCGCCTCAACCTGAGAGGAACCTGGGAATAACCCTGTGTCCAAACCGTTCCCCCCAGTTAGTAATCCTAAATTTCTGGGCCCGGAATTCACAGCACCATCGACTCGCGGTGAGACAGGAGGTGGTCCAGGCGGTGGTCTGATGACTGTTCCACCCGGCGATACCGGATAACCAACACCCCCTGAACCCCTCGGAGTAGCGGCTTCTGTTATTGCCCCGAAAGTTCCAGCTACCGGATCACCTCCTGCTAAAGCTTCAGCAGTAAACTGACGCAACGTTTGGGGAACAGGAGCCTGAGGCACAGTCTCCCCACTGCTCCTGCCCATCAGTGGCAGCGGGGGGGGGAGAGGAACAAGCCCCCCGGAGTCCCTCATCCCTGAAGTCGACGACTCTCGCCCTTCTGAAGGACCCTGCGCACCCTCCGCAAACCTTACTCCGAACGAGCCCGAAGGTGGGGCCTGTTGGAACCTAGCCCTCTGCAGAGCCTGCTGCTGACCCATGAAACCGAACCTCGGATCTACCATCATACCTAAACCCATATCAAATCTTCCAAAGGAACCCGGGAAGTCCGACCCAGGTGGGTCCACAAATTGTGCGGCATTCTGAAACGAAGGAAAAGCCTCAGCGTGAGGATGACCTAGCGCAAAGGAAGCCGGTGAAAACGGGATTGCCCCCTCAGCAGGCGTCCTCGTCAATTGGCTGTGCCAGCTTGAATGCGACTCGGTCTGTAGTCTCTGTTTTAGCGATTTGTTTTCTTCAAGTACCTGTTCCAGCAGAGATTCCATCCTCTGGATTCGGTCTCCTTCGACAGGTATCAGTTCCCTGGAGTCGTCACCTGGTGGTTTCCTTCCACTAGCCATAACCATGTCTGACCAAGCCTCCTCTAACCTAGAAGCATCAATAGACGCTCCCTTTCCTTTCCCAGATCGACTGGGAGATTCAGGCTGACCAGCAGGCGCCCCAGCAACCAATCCCCTATCCAGTTCCGAACTAGGCTCTACTCGAGCCACCCGAGGAGGCTCCTCTGCTGCAAATGACGCGGAATAATCAGGCTCCTGCTCTCCAGCTTGAAGCCCCAAATCGCCTAAAGCTGTCTCATTCACCTCCATACCCAGCCTGGCTGCCTCGGCATCCAAGGTACTGGGCCGGTTTCTGATCAGCTCAACTTCCGTCCTCACCCGCTCACTATGGAACGGGTTGGCCACCGGCAGGTTATCGCGCTCCCCTTCTCCAGCTGCTCCGCCGGACTCCAAGGTGCCAGGAGAAACTTCCCCTCGTCTCATCTCTCCTGCTGTCGCGCCGCCTGCCGCCTGACTCAAGGCTGTTTGATATTCCTGATCCCTGGAAGCTTCGACTGCTTCCGGCTCGCTCGGGATGGGATTCCTTCTGCGTCTCGACACAGTCTCCATGGCCCGACGACTACGGAAGTAACTTAGTCAAACTAGCAACCTAAAGACTAGCCCTAAAGCCACTACGGCTGATAACCTACGTGAAGATAACCCAGAGAAATTAAAGTTAACCTTAAGAGGATATCTTAAAGGGACTCAACCACCCAAGCAGAAAGACCCCAGAAGACTTCAAACGGACACTTAGAGTTTTTTACAGCCAAACAGCCTCGGTGGTCTCGTGCGTGTCATCCTGTGCGCAGAGGGTCATGCTAATCCTCGGTACCTGTTCCACGCAGTCAGGGGTTAGGGCTGAATCGCTGTTGTCACAATTTCGCCTCAGTTTTTCTGTGCATGGCTTGTGTGCAAGGCTGGGTCTTAGGTTGAGGGCTGCAGAAGCATCGCGGCATGTGGGTTCATGTCTGCAAGAGCCTCCTCGCAAAACCCTCTACAGCGCTTGTACAACCCTCTCTAGGCATTCTATTCCAAAGGCCCCTTTCTCCTGAATTTTTCTGGTCTCCTAATCTCTAAACTGAATCTAGAGCCCTTGTAAACTCTTACACGTCCCCAGCACTGCATCTGTGTTCAACACCCTAAACCCCAAGCCCTAATCTCTAAACCTAAACCCCAAACCCTAAACCCTACTCATGGGCAGTTTTCAAAAATAGGGTCCCTTCGGGGGTCCTGTTTATAAGGGTTCCGTACTATATTGGGGACCTAAGAAGGGACCCTAATGTAGAGAACCACCCTAAAAACTAAACCCTAAACCCCAAACCCTAAACCCTAAAACCCCAAACCCCTAAATCCTAAAACCCTAAAACCCCAAAACCTAAACCCCAACCCCTAAACCCTAAATCCCTAAAACCCCAAACCCTGAAACCCCTAAAGCGCAACCGGTGACCTCTTCTCTTGGAGCTCAGGAGCCCGGCACGTGCGCGTACGGCCGGGTGCGCCCCTTTCACGGTTCTTCCGACTAAGGGGGGGTGTAGGGTTTCGGGATTTAGGGTTTTGAGCTTTTGGGGTTTTGGGTTTTGGGGTTTAGGATTCAGGGTTTAGGGCCTGCGGTTTAGTGTGTAGGGTTCAGGATTTAGGGTTTAGGGCTTAGGGTGGCTAGGAGGTGAGATATCCGGGTTTTTGCACGAAGTGCTGATTTGGGAGATGTTTTAAGTCGGACATCGTTGAATATCGAGCCCTAACTATAAATGAATTTTGGGGACTGTCGAAATCGACACCTAGTAGAAGGCGTTGTATAGGGTTTAGTGTTTGAGACGTAGCCAGCTCCTCTGGGTGGACCAAAGGCAGATCAAGCGGACCTACTATTGTCGTGCGGTGTGCAGTGGATCAGAGCTTCATTGTTTGAGATGCTGCATACCTGAAATCGATGTCCGCTTTTGGCACACTGAGCAACATGACGCTCAGTTCTCGCTTTAATCCTGTTTACATCTAGGATCTGTTGCCAATGTTGCAGTGTTCCCTTGTCTTTGGAAGCCCGTAGGTGCATTGTTGCCTTGGGCTTTGGGTGTCGGTATAACAAGCATTGGGGTAATGGAGACCCTAATTCCCCACGAGAGAACAGGCCGCACAGTGCTGACTGAAGCCAGTCGTAACGCCAACTGGAAGTGTCCCCAAGGCCCTAAACCCTAAATCCCTAACCCCCTAAACCCCTAAACCCTAAACCCTGAGGTCCCGCACCGTGAATTCCAATTCCGCGCTTCTAGGACACCGAGAGCGTCAGCTGCAGCGCCTGCTTGCCTGGACTGCATGCTCGCGCCACCTGGCAAAAGAATACTTGGAGGGTCGGGGGACTTAGTAAGTGGGTAAGAAGTAGAGTTATAAGTACCCTACAAGGGGTCCTAATTGGGGCTATGAGACTTATAATTCTATCATAAGTCTGACTATGTCCCCCGACCCTCCAAGTAAGGTTCGGTGTTCCTTAGCACTCCAATACCCAACCTTGAGACTATTAAAGCTAGTCGGACTAGAACAAGAGTTTGTCGCTGTTGACGGCTTCGTTGGGGTGCAAGACGAAGGACATGTCGGGGAGACAAATTGTGCTAGCAGAAGTGGTGCTGGTGCGGGTGCAGTTGCAGTAGCAGTAGCAGTAGCATATGGCTACGAGTGAAAGCCAGCCACACAACCATGAGCAGCATCATCGCTACCCTTCTTGCCAGTACTTCACAAATCCCTTGATTCAGGAATGTACCTCAAACTGTAGTTTAGTAGGATTCCTAATTTTAATGTGATTTAGGGTACATGCCTTGATCAAGGGATTTTAGAAGATCTGGGTGCACCACTTGCCTCAACAAGATCAGCCCTGCATCTTAAGCACCCTCAAGACTATAAGCCCTAAAGCCCCTAAACCCTACATCCGAAACACCCTCACACCCCCAACCCTCGAGAGTATTGAACCCTGAAACCCCTGAACCCTACAGCCTCAGCAGCCTCAAAGCTCAAGTCCCCTAAAAACCACTTAACCCCTAGATCCTGAGCACCCTCAGAACCCCTGAACCCTACATCCTCAACTTAAAGCCTTAAACCCTACACAGGAAATGGACCCTAAACCCCAACCCTCCACCCTCAACCCTAAACCCTACACCCTCAACCCTAAACCCTACATCCACAACCCTCCACCCTCAACCCTAAACCCTACACCCTCAACCCTAAACCCTACATCCACAACCCTGCACCCTCAACCCTAAACCCTGCACCCTCAACCCCCCAGGCCCCCTCTCACTCTCCGGACCCTTGTCGAGGACGGCGTTTGCGTGGAGTGCGTCGGCGGAGACTATGCCTTGGTGATCACCTTCGGCATCCTCGCGGCCCCTGGGGCCTTGTTTCTGGAACTGTAGGGTTTTAGGGTTTAGGGGCCTTTTTCTGAAACTTTATACCGAAGTCCCTTAGTTTGGAAAACATCCCGTTGGGATTCCTACTGGTATATTAAGGTAAGTTCCTTAGTTGGGGTATTGGGGCTTTTCTGGAGCTTTACCCCTTAAACCCTAAAAGCTAAGCCCGACACCCTAAACCTTAAACCTTACCCTGAGGCTCTTATTGCTGTTATGGGCCTTCTAGGGGAAGGTTTGGGCTTTGGGGGCTAAGGACTGTGGGGGCCCATGAGCCTTAGGGTAAGCCGAAAAAGATCCCTTAATGAAGGAACAGACCTGAAAATCGGTTTAGGGTTTAGGGTTTAGGATCCCTACTGCCCTACCGTAATTTTTTAAGGTCAGTTTCGTAGTTCAGGGGTATTAGAAGGTTTGGCAAGCAGCTTTTCGAGTTTCTGGACTTCCCGCTAAGAGCCTAATGCTCGTGCCCCATCATCTATTTCATAGCTTGAAGATGGACTTCTTGGAGAAAATGGGAGGCTTTTGTGTTCCTTGCAGTCCTTTACAGGATCCAAACATGGAGCCCTCCTTTTTCACAGAACCGCTACAAAAGGATACCCTACTCTAGGATAGGCTTTATTCTGACGGGGCTTTTGTGTGCTAGATCCTTGCAGTTTACGGATTTGGGGTTTAGGGTTTACTTGGAGGTTCATGGGACTTATTAAGTACAGTTATAAGTACCTTTATTGGGGCTATAAGTAATTATAAGTATGCTTACCTTATTTGTAACCCTAGCTACTAAGTCCCATGAACCTTTTAAGCAGGGTTTGGGGCCAAGGGCTTCGAGCTTTATTTGTGACCGTCTCAAAACTCCGTCTCAAAACTCCTATTTAATCCGTACCCGCGGAAGGATCTAGAAAGTACATCCCCGAATCTCTCTGCGACTAAGGGATACTTTTTATGAACCCCTTGAAGGATCTACTTTTTGGATCCTCCCAGAAAACTGGGAAGGTTTGTGCCTGGGCATGGGTTTGTTTAAGCCAGCAGCGCTCTTTAGCAAGCCGTGGGATGCGGCGTGAAGTACCCATCATACGGCATTTGTAGGGATCAGACAGTGGAGTCCCACATCCAAACAGGTCTACTACACAGTTTAGGGTTCAGGGTCTACTATAGAGCTTAGGGTTTAGATAATGCAAACTTCTGATGCATAAGATATCTTGAGAGCTCAAGCCCTGGCTTCCAATCATCGTCTTTGCCTATTGCGGCTTTCTGGCTTCAAGCGCGAAGGTTCTAGAGGTTCAAGGTCGAACACAGGCCGCTGATGGAATCAGAAGCTTACAGTACCTAAACCGTAAGCTCTACAGTAGACCCTAAGCCCTAAGCTCTATGGTAGACCGCTCTATAGTACACCCCAAACCCTAAACTCCGTGGTAGACCCAAAACCCTAAACTATAGTAGACCCGAAACCCGCAGATCTATAGTAGACCCAAAACCCTAAACTCGATTAGTAGACCCTAAGCCCTAATTATCATGGTCTCGGGGCTTAGAGCTTTAGGATGCAGATCCCGGGATTTTTAAGCTCCTTTACCCGATATGGGTTTAGGGTCTAGGGTTTAGGGTCCAGGGTTTAGGTTTCAGGGTTTAGGGTCTAGGGTTTAGGGTCTAGGGTTTGGGGGTTTAGGGTTTAGGGTCTAGGGTTTAGGGTTTGGGGTTTAGGGTTTAAGGTGTCTTGTGAGGAAGACGGGAGGCTTAAGATGTGACTAAGGGCAAGGCTTACAAGCACATGGGTAGTTCTCTAAATTAGTGTCCCTTTTAGGGTCCTTTTTTGTAAGGTTTAGGGTCCTTTTTATAAGGGTGCCGTGCTGTATCGGGGACCCAAAATGGGACCCTAATTTAGAGAACTACCCACATGCATCTTGAGACGACGAAAGCGCCTACAGAGCTCATCCCGAAGGCTCATCCCGCGATATGGGAAGTACTCCTACTTGGGGGTTTTAGGGGACTTAATAAGTACAGTTAGGGTTTAGGGTTTTAGGGTTTAGGGTCTACTTGGAGGTTCATGGGACTTAATAAGTACAG